AACACATGTAGACTGGTTGGGCGAACTCCCATGCACCCTCCAGGACCCTGCTGAGAGTGTAGATCTGGTCCACTGTTCCACGACCAGAATGTGTTTCTAGTGCCTTCTATCCAAATATGGTCACTTCCTGTTTGACACAAACAACAAGCAGTCATCCTCAATAACTTGTTGAGTCGGAGGACTCCATGTTATGACTTCTACGTAAATGAAAATGTCAGAGCTGAGAATAATAAAGGATCCTGTTAGATTTACTCTGTTTGTGTTTGTCTGTTAGACTAAATGATGTAAGGAAGGATTGTCATTAAACACTTTTCTGATTTGTTGGTGGGTATGATGTGTGAACGTTACCTCTACTTCTCGATTCACTGCCTGGTGGGTTTGACAAAGTGGTTCCTGTAAAAATTAATCAGTCTAATATTTTACAACACTGAAATGATTCTGTTTCAGTCAGTGATGTCAGAGTCTGCAGGACGTCCTCCATCTACCTCTTCTGTGTCCTCCATCTCTCTGGTTGAGATCAAGGCTGAGACTCATCTGGTCCTCGAAGCTTTCCTCAAACAGACTCTGTCCACCCCCCACAAACACAGGCCAGGTAGAGTGGGCGGAGCCTATCGGGACCAAAACAAGTTCAGGTAACCTAACTCACCTGTCTGCTGCTCTGCTGGGTTGTTCGTGTGTCCTCACACATGTCCTGCTGTCCTCACACATGCCCTGCTGTCCTCGTACATGTCCTGCTGTCCTCACACATGTCCTGCTGTCCTCACACATGCCCTGCTGTCCTCACACATGCCCTGCTGTCCTCACACATGCCCTGCTGTCCTCACACATGCCCTGCTGTCCTCACACATGTCCAGCTGTCCTCACACATGCCCTGCTGTCCTCGTACATGTCCTGCTGTCCTCGTACATGTCCTGCTGTCCTCACACATGTCCTGCTGTCCTCACACATGTTCAGCTGTCCTCACACATGCCCTGCTGTCCTCACACATGTCCTGCTGTCCTCACACATGTCCTGCTGTCCTCACACATGTCCTGCTGTCCTCACACATGTTCAGCTGTCCTCGTACATGTCCTGCTGTCCTCGTACATGTCCTGCTGTCCTCGTACATGTCCTGCTGTCCTCGTACATGTCCTGCTGTCCTCACACATGCCCTGCTGTCCTCGTACATGCCCTGCTGTCCTCGTACATGTCCTGCTGTCCTCGTACATGTCCTGCTATCCTCGTACATGTCCTGCTGTCCTCACACATGCCCTGCTGTCCTCGTACATGTCCTGCTGTCCTCGTACATGCCCTGCTGTCCTCGTACATGTCCTGCTGTCCTCGTACATGCCCTGCTGTCCTCGTACATGTCCTGCTGTCCTCGTACATGTCCTGCTGTCCTCGTACATGTCCTACTGTCCTCACACGTGTCTTGCTGTCCTCACACGTGTCTTGCTGTCCTCACACGTGTCCTGCTGTCCTCACACATGTCCTGCTGTCCTCACACATGTCCTGCTGTCCTCACTCATATCCTGGTCTGGTTGTGTTCTAGTTTGAGGCCACAGTCTAGTTCTAAGGGTGGACATGAGTCTCAGTCTGGAGACAAAGAGGAGAAGAGGAATGGGAGGAGTGATTTCTTTTCACAGCTCACACTCAGTCGYTCCAAAGATCCTAAATCCCCGCTGACCGGGTCCAGCAGGACCAAACCCCCTCCAGCAGAGGTAAGAGAAGAAGAGATGGTTCTTTTAATAAAATCAAACTTTCAGTTGTCTTAATATGAATTCACCTTATTTTTCACAGAGGTAAGGACACAGTCAGTTTATTGTGTGAGACTTCTGGTCAGGTGCTCCCAGTCACTGGCTTGTTAACTAACTTTTCACTGTATTTTCCATTTCTAATGTATTACAATTAATTAATGTCACTTATATAGAAGATATTGACAGATTATAGTGACAACTATACATTACTTTAGTTCAATCCCAAAAATTTAGAGCTGCTTTCTATATTAAATAATATTTTAGAAAAAATAGGCAGCAGTCTCATCACAATGAGGCAACAGGTATGTTATGACACTGAACAGACACTTTATTAGCCCACCTTCCATAAGATCGTTGCTGCGTGACTGCAGGACTTACCCTGACCTGCAACACAGGAGCGCCCAGTCGTGTCAGCAGTGCTGGTTGATGTGATGAGGATCCACGCAGAGTGAATATCAGACTTACTTTGGCTTGGTTGGAGTTCAGCCTTCTAGAATACCAAGTCATCAATATTGTTTTTGATTAATATCTGGCCAACTTTTCCACTGTACAGGTCCACCTCTGTAAAAGTGAACTGTAGATCCATCCTCACCAAGTGACAACACAATAATTAAAAATGTTCTCGTACTTTATACAATGGAAGAAATAAGTATTTGTTCCCTTGTTGATTTTGTAATTTTGCCTGTTGTAAAGACATGAAAAGTCTATAATTTTAAGGGTAGGTTAATTTCAACAGTGAGAGAGAGAATATCAAAAATAAAATCCAAAAAATTACTTTGTTTTAATTATTTCAATTTATTTGCATTTTGCAGAGAGAAATGAGTATTTGACCCGTCTGGCAAACAAGACTTAAAACTTGGTGGGAAAACCCTTGTTGGCAGCAAAGCAGTCAGACATTTTTGTAGTTGAGGATGAGGTTTGCACACATGTCAGGAGGAATTTTGGTTCACTCTTCTTTAAGATCATCTCTAAATCATTTAAATTTTGAGGCTGTTGCTTGGCAACTCAGAGTTTCAGCTCCCTCCGTAGGTTATTGAGGGGATTAAGGTCTGGGGACTTACTAGAGCACTCCACGACCTTAATGTGATTTTTTAGCCACTCCTTTGTTGCCTTGGCTGTATGTTTTGGGGCATTGTTGTGCTATAGACCCAGGCAAGACACATGGTGGCAGAGGGAAGGTTGTCACTCAGGATTTTACGGTACATGGCTTCATCCGTTCTCCCATTTATGTGATGAAGT